GACAGTCATGACCTCTGAAACCACCCCTCTGAGAATCCCATCGAAAAACATGCATGCCACGATTAAACGATGAAGAAGAACCTTCATTCCTTTTCTGAGTGAAGAGTCTTTTGAAACATTCCGTGTTGCGAACCCAAACCTTATCCCTCCACGCCTTCCATTTCTGAAATTCAAGTTCCTTCAGCAGATGCGAGCCATCTCCTCTTTCCAAGCTGTCCGTCGTCGAAACAAGAACAGGGTGCTTCCCCTCCCGAACAACCACTTTATAGCAGAAGCAATCATCATGAACAAAGACAAAAGGAGGGCAAGCCCGACCCACCAAGACCGTGATACGGACTCTTTCAGCATCCTTGGATTCATCCGCATCAACCCAAATAAAGCCACCGCAGAGGTCACCGACCGTCACAAACAAAGCATGGCTCCAAAGGTGAAGAGGGAGACCATAAAGCATAACTTTCTTCAGCCCTTTCTCCTTCAAAACCTCGGAGCAACCCACTCTAAAGTTCCAAGACTCCACTCGGAGAGTGGCCTTGCCGCAGTCCCGACGACCCTCCTTGAGCACACGATCTGCCTCCGCCGGAGAGGGGAGACGAAAAAGGATCAACGAATCCGTCAAAGGCAAAACCACCACTTCAGCTGAGACCTTCCAAGCCCGTGTTGCCCAAGCGGCGATCTAAGCCAAATCACCCACTTCCTTGTCAAACTGACCCACCAAACACGATCGCAGGTCCTCTTTCCTCCTACCAACCGAATCATCATCCAAGAAAATCGAAGGACCTCTGTACGTGTTTGCAGATATGGCAAACCCACCCTAAAAGAGACGAGGTATACGAGCAACCTCCAAGAAAAACGCATAATACACCAGAAATTCGCAACCTGGAATAAATTCCTTCCTAAACAAGTAACACAGTTACTCAAAGCCTGAGACGCGCAGACACTTCTAAGGAGCCATACCCTAGTTGTACACGTGTCAAACACGGACACTTCCGATAAATTTGGACATGTGTCCAACACATCTGGGACGTGTCTATAATTAAAGAAAAAATTCTTAATTTCAGACACAATGCCAACACTTCCTGAAAATGTGCTAACATGTAACTGATAAATATTGAATGTTTGATAAAACTTTCTTTTAACACAAAACAACATATAGTCATTGGAAAAGTCAAATTAAAGGTCTATACAAATTTACATAACACTTGACCACATTTTTAAAATAGAAGAAAGGTTTTATAAAAGAAGCAGGCGAATAGGAGAAGAGTCATCAAATTATGTCTTTATCAACACATGATAGATGCATGCCATTAACCACTATATCTTTCTCTGTGCAACACAGGTGATTATAACCATGTGATTAGTAAGCTGCAAATTACATGTTGCAGTCATAGAATATTTATTTGCTATAAATAATATAGTTTTTATATAGAAATATAAGTTTTATTGATGTGTTCTCACAGTCTGTATCCTACCTTTCAAAGATCTGTTCATGTCTGTATGATGTCGTATCCATGTTCAGCGTCTGTATCCATACTTCTCAAGCTCAAAGCAAAAATTAAATTACTTAATCAATTTCTGTTGAAGGACAACATTATTGTAACAAGGACCAAACTATCCATGACCCATGACAAACATCGCTAATTAGTAATTACAGTCGAATGGAAGTCACAGATAGGAGGTGATGGAGAATGAGTCATGATTCGCACACGAGTTGCACGTGTTTCACTGTTACTTTTGGAGAATAGGCAAAGATAGATGAAATTAGGGTTAATTTTATTAATTTTCCTATTTTGGCATTGTTTTAGCTTTAGGATTATTTTGGTATTTTCATATTTTTGGGTTTACTAGGGTTTGATAAATATTTTGCCTATATAAGGGCTCCTATGTAAACAGACAATATAGCTTTTGATTTTTTACTATTATCGTGAGTTTGAGAACTGTCCGTGTCTTTTCTCCCACACTGTTCTTGATTTTCCCTATCCCTCAGTCTCTCTAGCCTTCTCAATTTGTTTTCTCATCCCCTTCATCTATCTTCTCACCACCTCTTCTTCTAGCCTCATCTCATCTTCTCATTCTTATATATTTCTTCTTTCTGGTTCTAAATCTGTATCACAACAAGCCTACCCATTCTACATCAAGAGGCAAGTGAAGTCTTCTTAATTTGTGATTTGTTTGGAAAGCTTTGATATTTTTCTCTCTTTTATAGCACTGGTTGTAAATTTGAAGCGGTAAATTTAAAGTGGAACCATTGACAAAAGAGTTCATAGATAAGTCAGTCAAGTGCAATGAGCAAGAACGATTGCACCAATATGCTGATTTAATCAGAGTTTAAATCACTATATTAGAAGATAAGGCCCTGTTGGAGGGTCAAGTATATGAGAGCAGAGAAACATGGTGAAAACAATTTATGTAGCTGACCTGAAGTAGTTGGTAACAGACTTCTGAGTGAGGTGTTTATGTGAGGAGTTGGGTACATAAACATGTTTACACCATCTGTTATCCATAGACCAATACTCCATTAATTCTCTTTAAAATTCTTATCCTGTTAACTGCCCTGAAACAAACCTTAGCCATAGCCTATAACCATAAATCATTTTTGTTGTAAAGCTACCACTAAGTCGCTCAAAAGCCTTACCCTACAGTATCTTCTACTGATTTTGGATGTCACAAGTTTCAACTGCTGGAAGTGCCATCAGATTTCTGTGGTCCAAACAAAAAATTAAATTAAAGAATCTCTTGGTTTTCTCACTTAAAAGAATATTTGTACTATTAACCTCCTAATAGAGACGAAAATGAGTAATAAACGATACATAGGTAAACAAGTCAAATAAAAAGAAAGAGGAAATGCTTACAAATTGGTGAATAAAAAATAACATTTGTAGGACCTTAGAACATATCTATGGAGGTGTGGAGAGCTATAGGACATGTAAAAAATGAGTATTGAACCTAACATAGGTAAACAAGTCAAATAAAAAATAGAGGAAGAGGAAATACTAAAAAATAAATAGTGAATAAAAGCATTGTAGGAAATAAGAACATATGTATAGAGGCGTAAAGAACTCTAGAAAACGTAAAAATAAATAAATAAATAAAGGAATGGTTAACAAATTTATTCACAAAAATTGGAGGAGAAAAGAAGAAAACAAGATGGACGGAGAAAAAGTACTATAGTAACAAATTTAAAACGAGTAAACAAATTCCATACTCGATCTCATAAATACATGTAGAATTGTGTCGAAAGTTATATTCGATGAAAGTTGTACGTACGGATTGGAGGTGTACAAACAAGATATCCAGCAACAACAAGAAGAAAAGGGATCGAAAAAATTCTTTCAATGAAGATGTCCAAGGCAGGATTGGTCAACGAAATATGAACCAGAGACTGAACCGAAATTAGGTAGATATACAAAATCATGACAACTATAGAGGAATTACATTAATGGCTCATACATTGGAACTATGGGGAAAGTAAAGATTAAAGAAAGAATAAACAATGTCAGATAGCGAGTTCAAATTTATGCCAATTAAATCCACAATGGAGTCGTTTACATAGTAAGAACAATAATGAAATATTACAAAAAGGAAAAGCAAAGATTTGCACGTGAGAATAAATATGATAGTACCGAGAGACTAAATTTGTTGATACCTACAAAGAAATGGAATTCCTATAAACTTTATTCAAACTATTTAGGATACGCATATCAACAAGAGGTCCAAAGTTTGTAATTTGAACCACATGCGAAAAAAATAATGATTTTCTTATAGAGCAAGATTACACCAAGTATCAGCACTAAACATGATCAGTTCACAACAGCTTTTCCATGGTGCATGACATTTGATGATGGCATAGTTCTTTTGCACAAATATAAGAAAGCCTCAGTACTAGAAATGGAAAATTGAAGCGACACAATAGACTTGAAGCCTTTCAAAATTAGTGCAACTAAAACAAAATATATGAAATGCAAATTATAATGATAATAATTCAAGATCAAAGGATCACTCAATGTAAAAAAAATTTATATTTAGGATCAATAGTACAAAAGAATTCAACAAAATGAAGACAAGCTAGTTGCATTCTGGCATAGCACACGTAGATGCATCAATGAGAAAAGGAAGACTAGTTACAATAGGAAATAAGAGATAAAACGACAGACCAAAGCTAACATCTGATGCAGTGATACGAAAAATCCTTAAGAAACTAGATTTTACAATTGAAGGGGCACTTGAGAAAGTATATCTAAAAGTAAAGAGAAAAGAGGAAACAGTTGCAGTTTATATTGTTGCTGGCTCAAACTGAAAGATCCATAAAGTATGCTTCAACCCCGAGTAATAATGCAAGTATAGGTTTTGTTGTCCTTCATGGACAGAAGAAAGTATGAACAATTACATCCTAAAACTACATAAACATGGCTTGGGGTTAGCAACACATGGAAGCCAAATATGGAATAAAAACTAATGGACAAGGACTGATTTATGTGCCAATGCCAACTAATACTCAAACCCTAAACTCCAACTGAATGAACAAAATGCAGCAACTCATAAGAAAATATCAGTTTCAGAATTTGTTGTTGATTGGAACATGTTCACATAATTAATTTTCAATATACACTAACATCCTCCCTTTATTGACAAAATCATTAGAGAATCACCTCTCCTCTCTAAATAACTGCATAGAGTTGCATCTTATGTCATCATGCATGCCACCCCTCAAATGGCTTAATAAAAGGCAGAAAATGGTCTGTATGAAAAGCAGTAGTCATTTGCATAATTCAAAATAAAGATTCTATGTGCCATAATCCAGAAGGAGAGTGAAATAGAGAGGGAAATAGAAGCTAAGATGGCCTTAAAACCAAACCATCAATGTACTTATAAAAAGTCAGGTACTTATTGATCTTAAACAGATCTTATCCAGTAAGAAACATGACATGAGGGGAAAACAACTGAATTTAAATTGTATTCGAAAAGCATGGTCTGAGAAGGGGAAAAACAAAAAGAAAGAGAACCTGTAGCCAAAGCTGTGATTGAACACTTTCCCGTGATCCAGCAGTGACCATTCCCCCTGCAACTGGAGCAGAAGGTACCTTTCCACGCAGAGCAGGAAGAGTGGGTGAAGTTGCAGCACCCCAGTAGTCCATACCAATATTCAAGTTTGTGGCGGGACCAGAAACACCTGCTGGCACGATGGACACTGTTTGGTTCACCATCGTATGAGGTATGTTTGGACCTCCATTCTGAGAACCATGCCCAGCCCTGCCATTTTGTGATGTTTCGGCTGTAATATAGACATCACTGATACTTTTCATTAATATCGAGGAACACTCAATATAATTACCGCATATGGAAAGAACAATTTTACAAACAAACCTTCCAAAGAATCTTGCCTGCATCCTGATTTCATTTGCGAGTCCTGCATAAAATAAATAAAAACAAGATTATATAATTTTCTGGTAAGAAAGAAAAGAGCAGCACAGGAGAGCATAACTTAGTTACTAAAAGACATTGTATACTCCCATGGTACATATGATTGACACCCAGATTGAACTAAACCAATTTATGAACAATCATCTCCGAAATAAGAGATTGCCTTTATATGTACTGCAATCAAATTGTTGATGAAAGCTTATAAAATAAAGGTCATTACCCATTTTTGATCCCTCTACAGAGGGGAAGGCTTAGGAGCATGGTTTGCCAAACCGGCCGGTTCATGATGGGCTCGGCACTTGCGGAGTCCAAGTCCCACCGATAAATCGATGGGATTCAAGTTCACGTCGAAACTGGCGAACCGGCAGGTACTGCTGGCGAATCAGCCCGCAATTGGTTCAGATCAAATACTCAATACTCAGGCTCATTGCATAAAATGCTTGCTTAAAATGTTAGAAGTGCAACGAACAGGGTTTGAACTTGAGAGCAAGTGAAAAAATAAATAGAGTTTTAACCACCACGCCCTCACGTCTTTTTATCATTCTTGGCACAATTATTTTATTTATTGTATGTTATCAACCGTTTGCACTCTATCTACATATATAACCTTGTAATGCTTAAAATCTTATATATAATCAATTAATATAATAATATATGGTTGAAATAAATTATCTATATTCAACAAATAAACTTTGTGGAGAGGCTCCCACTTTCAAAAATTTTTATTTTCTATTATTTTAATTTTCACTTATAAATGGTAACGTTGTTGTGATGTAAAATGTTTATGGTTCATAATTTCTTGATACTTTGAACTTGTATTGTACTTTTCATTTATGTTAATTTTCAGATTTATTTTTATTTTACTAAGACTTATGTGTGAGATCTTAAAAAATTCACAATTGCAAAGTTAATAACCGATTCCATTACGCCAATTTTGGACCGAGTCCGTTACACCGTGTCCACAACTGAGAACCATGTTTGGAAGAGTTTTAACCTTTGGAATTGTTTTACACAAAATAATTGCTCAGATTTGAACCCACATCCTCATGCTTGTCAGCTCAAGCTTTTACTACTGCATCAAACAATGGTTCCTTACTGATCAAAGCTACTAAAGAAGACATGAAGGGCATTTTCACACATGCATTATTATTTATGTAGCATGACACTTTCTAGAAGGAACCATGTTATCATCCAAACCAGACACCAAACTCATAGAAAACTCCCGTAAACATGTTCAAAGCACCCCATATCCAAAATTTACAACCAACATAGAGTAAACATGCAGAAACAGGTAACTATGTAGCCTACACTTCTTAATACAAATTAAGAGTATACATGTAGAAAGATGTATTCAGCTAGACATATATACTACACATGACAACTATTTATGTCACAATTATGAGTTTCATCTTCCGAGTTATGCAATACACCAAAGTACATATGAGTTTCAAAATCATACATCTACCCAAAATACAAGTATATGCATTAAATATTTGTTTTGTCATGGATTCGGTTAATGTTTTCAAATTTTGCACCGTCAACACATCCAAGTTCCATGTCTGTATTTGTGGAATATAAGTGTAATAAATTAAGGATTGTGTGTGGTGCATGTGTGTATTTGTGTATTATGTCCAGGGCTTTAAGTTTTAGTTGGTTTTCAGAAGTGCTTCTTTAAAATGAGATGCAACTTTCTGCACCATATGGAAAAAAAGAAAGAAAAAATAATAATAATAATAATAAATATTCAACTTAATTGAGAAACTTATTATATCTTTATATAAATCAGATATTTCCATTTATTGTAAAAAAAATTACAGAAATCGTGGCTTAAATATACAAGAATTAAGTCCCTCATTCAGAGCTCTTAACAAAAAATAAAAAGTTTTTATATTTTTCAAGTTGCTGCACAATCTCAATGGAAGTCATTGCAGAATTCTGCAAGATTTTTGAAACACCTACTCGATCTCAACTTTGAACGACCACTTATGTAGAACTAATTATCTCTATTTTCATTATTCTCTTTTCCAATTCTGACATATTCTGAATACTGATTGCTTCCCCTACTGCATTATTGTTGCATTAGTCTTCAGCGAGACCCTCCTGTTGCAGACCATTCCCAAATCCTTCTTTAATGAATCTGAATCCTTGCACTTAGAATTCCAAGAAACCTTAAGTTTTTTTTTCCCCCTGGATGAAACCTTAAGAATTTTTTTCCCCCTGGATGAAACCTTAAGTTTGCCTTGATCTTTAGACTGACAACCCTAAACATGTGTTTTTACAATGTAAAGTTTGATGTACAAGCAAGGACCCATTAATAATTTACAAATTAACCTCTGGTAACACAAATAAATAAATAAATAGGATAATAATATATCCTTGCTCATACTAATAAGACTGATCTTACTCCAGTCAGACACTAGTTTTGTTCCTATATTTGCACCACAAGATGCTTGATTTAAACTAAATGCCATTAATTTTGTCCTCCTTTAATTTATACGTGTCTGTTGACAAAAGAACTAGGGGAAGTATCCTAATTGATATAAATTTTCCATTATTTTTCAACAAGCATTAGAAACTCCTTAAAATGAGAAATTACTGACAAATATACACAAAATAATTCAGTTATTTAACTGTACATTTATTTTTATTTTTTTAAAAAGACACCTACATCAGGTAACCAACCAGTAACCTAAGTGACCCCATCGAGTTAGTAGATGCACCAAAGCACATTAAGAACCATGATACTTGGTATGAAACAGATTTTTAACAAGGTGATCCCATAAGGCCATTTTTCTTGTCCAAGTAATTCTGAATTGAATTAGGCTGATCGTTGAGTACTATAGTCAAAAGCTAGGACATCACAACATCTAAACTACTGAAATACAAACGCTTCTCTACTTAGCAAGTGATTTTAGTTCCCCATGACAACTCTTCAATGAAATTCCTCATTGAGAATAAAAATCTAATATATTAATTACTTTTATGGTAACTTGGGTAGTAATATTTAATCTGATGTATATGTTTTATATTTAAATAATAAAAATATACATAGATTTGATACGTATTATGTTTTAAGTTACTTTATAATATTATGGTAACTTAAGTATTGTTGGATAATCCATTAATAAATAATGGGATGTGCATAATTTATTTATTTAATAAAGATATACATATGTGTATATTTTATTTATTTAATAAAAATATACATAAATTATATACGTAACATATTTTACTTACCTTTTTAATATATATAAAAAGGAAAGTAATTTATTAATTACTTTTATAGTAACCTGAGTAGTAATATTTTATCTGATGTATATGTTTTATATTTAAATAATAAAAATATACATAGACTTGATACGTATTATGTTTTAAGTTACTTTATAATGTTATGGTAACTTAAGTATTATTGGATAATCTATTAATAAATAATGGAATGTGTATAATTTATTTATTTAATAAAGATATACATAAATTATATACGTAACATATTTTACTTACCTTTTTAATATTTTATTTTTTATTTTTTTAAGTTGACTTGGATTGGGAAAAGGGTTAGGGTTATTTTATTTAGCCTATAAATATATAGCTATAGGTTGTAAAATGGGGTTAGAAATATTCATGTGATATATACTGTATAGATAGTGTTAGAGAGGGAAGGAGGAAAAGGAATGAATGAGGAGAAAAACCCTATAAAGAGAAGATCAAGGAAGAAGAAGTTTAACTTTCGATCCGAAAGTTTAAGGCAAGTTCTTCTTCTATCTCTTTCCCTTTGATTCGTGTTTCTGTACATGCCTAGGAAATTCCAGGATTTATTAAACACATAAAATTAAATAATTATGCATGTTTAATTGGGTTAGAACATAGGTTTTATGAAATTGGTTCATATCTGTTCTTGTGTTATGAATTGATAAAATGCATGATTTTGATTTGATTTCTTATGTGAATTTTTACATGTTTAAATTATGTATTTTTCATATCTGTGGAATGATGGAACGTAGAAACATGCCTAGGATTTCTGAACATTAAATAGGGACTAGGTTTGGGTTTTAATAAATTTAAATAGACTCAATCATAATGATGTTTGCTATTTGAATGTTTTAAACAAACGAATGGATTTAATCTTTTAAAATATTTTAGCAATTGAGATTAAATGTGTAGGATGAATTGGATATAGAGAATCCTTATTTAACGGTATAATAAAATATCATCATGTATAAGATTCAGTTTGTGTAGGACATATGATATAGAAAGTTTAAAGAAATAATAAGTCATTCCTATTATGTGATAATTTGATATCATATTTATCATAGTTATTTATGAAATGTTTGATGTATTTCCTTAATTGTTACATCAATTGTTGGATTGTGTGGTTTAATACACCGGTATAGGACGGTGGCATTCTAGGGATGGATTAACTTATCAGTTAAGTCCTACCTATTTTATATAAGGGAATGGATTAACAAAAATGTTAAGTCCTACTTATATTTAAGTCAGGTCAGCTGAACAAGTTGAATGACTTATGGAGGATTAATTTATTATATAAGGGAATGGATTAACTAAAATGTTAAGTCCTACTTATATTCAAGTCATGTCAGCTAAACAAGTTGAATGACTTATGAAGGATTAATTTATACTGGATAGGATGGTTACTAGATTTTATATGTATAAGTATGGTGCCATGATATGAGCTTGAGTCTCAAGATTAATGGTTAGGGCGCGTATATCGCCAGGGATGTGTAGCTAGATATAGTGTAGTTGTGTACCCTGGTAGGTCTAGGTACTCATGCCCACTATATGTGCGTTTTGCATGTTGCCTACTATTCAGGTTGAGACAACCCTATAGTCCAGTGAGGTTCCTTTAGTGTGTATATATATATATACGGACTACTAGTTACTGTTGGATTGACTAGGATGTATACGTGTATCAGATCTCTGCTTGGACTGTAGTAGAGTAGAACTTGTTTGTGGGCCTGACCCACCATTATTTTTCAGGTGTTCGTCACGAGTAGATGTTGTTCGTGCTGAGCGGGGATCATCTACTTCATTCTTCCGATGCTACACAAGAGTTCCTTTATGATTCAGTTTCCTGTTTTAGATTACTGTCATTTGTTTAGTTTGGATTTTCTAGGGGTCCACACAGTAAGGATTCCCGAGTTGTATTTTGGAGGATCAGTTGTATCAGAAGAGTTTATTAATTAATGGACATATATTATGAAGTTTATTATTAGATTAACATTTTAGTTTCTTGTCAGCATTTTATTTATTCTTCTTTATTCTTTTGTACTCTGTGTTCGTTTATTATCAATTTGTTTTGATATCCTCGGGTATTCGGGTGTGGGCCTGGCCAACCCACATTCGGAAATTCGGGGGTATCACAATGACAAGGACCTTTTTCGGTAAATGAAAAACTTATAAGAAGTGTCACATTAGAAATAAAATAAAATGTTGCATAATACCTACATTTTGAGAATTTGCATCACTTCCTTCGCTTGACCCATCACTTGCACTTTCAGCACTGCAGATCCCAACATCGTCAAAGGTAGTCAACACCAATTGATTGGTAGCGAAGACAAAGCAGGTTGTCATTAGATTCAAACGCAACAAGTGGCATATAAGCAACATGGACTTCTCAGTCCCCGAAACAACAATAAGCATAACATAACCAAATTTAGAAAATACAATATAATGGGTAAAGAAAAGATTATCACCAAGTGTGGTTTTCAGTAATCAATGGTGCTGAACTTGGGAGGGGCAGATTGGATACAAACCTAAACTTTAGAATTATTTGTACAAAGTGACTTCTCTCATTATTCAAATCAGGGTTCTCACAATAAAATTATTTTGACAGTTTTTTCAACTTTCATTAAGATGTCCACACTTTTAAGATGGAAATAATAAAGGTGAAAATCATAAAAACCCTGATTGGAGAGGACTTCCATAACCTGCTGCTCCTTTGCCTTCCCAGTGAACCTCTTCCAATTCCAATTGCTTTTTTTGACCTTTGTACCATCTCAAGAAATCCCATTGAGAATAAATAGTTCAATAAATAGATTCTTGAACTCCCAATGAACAGACCAAATGTCCTCATCTCTTAGACTGAGGAATGGGTATGGACTAACTAAAATGGGCCCTACACCAGTGCTGGTCCCATCAATAAGAGGTGTTAAGAGAGTCTAGACCCGGTCTCGGGTACAAACTTAACGTTTGGAATCAATTACACAAAGTGGCTGCCCACAGAACTTGAACCCCCAATTCATATTTGACAATAAAAGTTTTAACCAATGCACCAATCAACAGTCCTTTAAGCTTATCCATGTTCATGCAATTTATCCAATAAACTCCAGCTTACCTTTTAGAATAGACCCCATTACCAGATGCACCTGAGGTTTTGCCCGGTTCATTATCTTTGCCAGTAATCATATTCAAACTGCCCAAACTTCCTTTAGATCTCTTGATGGGCAGTTTTTCCTTCCCCTCAGATAACTTGGCATCCATTTCCATGCTGCCAGGTGCACTAACCTGCATTCAAACTTGTGTGTTATTCTTCAAGTAACACATATGGCCAAAGACATGTTCAATCAGCAGCAAATCATAACATTATGGTACAGGTATACAAATAACTCACAGAAGCATCAGCAATGCCATTAGGAGAAGGCATAGCAAAAGGACTGAAAGGATAAGATCCCTGTTTAAGATTGGAACACGTCATACAGAGTAAATGTCACTCAAACAATGGGGACACAATTTTAAAAAACAACTAAAAAATGATCACAGAACTCACTGGAGGCATAGATGGGTGAGCATACATCCCACCATGGGGATACATTGCAATATATGGGTGTGGCGGCGTACCATAGGGCGGCATAAGATGCTGTATATAAATTTGAAAAATAAAATTAGAATAGCACCACCTACCAAGTAGAAATTTAGATTATAGAAGTAAAATAAGGTTATGATTTATGAATTAAGTTTCTGCACTTCAGCCAAAATATTTGAGGTACTGAACAAGCCCCATCACCCAAGCCCACCCTTTTCCATAACATAGAGAATAAACTACCAGTATGAACCACGTAAAAGGAGAAAGCAAGGGCACAAGGACTTCCAAATGCATGAAATCCTTATTCTAGAGATGCACAATGTAAAAAAAAAAAGGCATGACATGCATGGTTGCTCGTGCACCAATGGAACTAAGTTACCCACAAGTAACTGAGTCCAAGACATCATGATCTAGGCCCGCTCACCAACAAAGTTAACCGTCACTTTTACAGGACACCAACTTTTACAAACCAAGCTCAGATCATTAAGGCTTACGAAGTTATGGTAGTTGTCATGAGTCTAACGTAACTACTCAAAGTACCCAAAAAAATAAAAGAAAACTCCACAAATGATAAGAATATAAGGACACGGGTAAGCTACCCAAAAAAAAAAGTATTAAGGACAGTTTTTAAGATGTACATTTTTAAAAATTTAGCCAAATGAATGTTGAAGTATACTTATGAACAAGCTAGGTTGAGCAAATGAACAAGCTTTAACAAGCTAGTTAACAACCAACTGAGTTTGGCTCTTGGAATGCTAAGGAATTAACAAAATTTGGAAGAGTTTAACATGTGAAGGAGATCAAATGGTGCAGCATCCAGACTCCCACTCTATGCAACATCCCCTTTCTTAGAAACTTAAAAGTAAATTCTCTCTGTTTCATTTTTACCCACAATCAAATAAATTTAAAATTAACTAATTTGAAACATCATTATCATGTGCTAAGATAAATCATCCTAATCCCACTCAAGAAACAAAACTAGTACACAGACATATATACCTGAACTCCCCACATGTAGGGGTGGGCTTGAGGACTCGATGCCAAGAACCCATGGGGAGGCATAGGAGAGTATGCCTGTTTCCAACACATTCCAGACCAGAAAAACGTTAAAATAAAATTTTGAATTTTCTTTTTTTTTTTAAATGGAAAAAAAAAAGAAAAGAAAAATGGAAGGCTTTGACTGTAGCACCTGGAAACCAGACCACTCTGGATTAACAGTGCCAGTGCTTGTAGTCGAAGACTGCTCCTGAACAATACACCAAAGAACAGAAAAATGCATTTATAAATTCTCAAAGGCAATGGAACTATACATGACTTGAAATATAGAAATTTAACAGAACACACAGATTTACCTGTGTTGTAGGTGTCTTCGACTCCTTTGTCTCCTTCATCTCTTTCGTGGGTTTGTCCATCTCACCACTTCCCATGATTCAATTACACCACCAACTCAAAAATTCATCAAACCATCCTGCAATATGAAAACCCTACTAATATAATGCATTTGAAGCAATTTTAACGCATATATATATATATATATATATATATATATATATATATATATATATATATATAATCTAATATGTTTCCACATGAAATCGTTATAAACCAAAAACTACAAAAAGAAATAAATGGATACATGTGTGTGTGTAGATAGAGAGAGCAGTGGTAGTATCAACCCAAATAAAAAATAAATAAAATTTTCCAGGAAAATAAAATTTTCTCCAAACCATCTTGTAATATAAACACTGTTTTATTATTACAACATTCGAATTGATTTTAATGAAAACAATCGTCTCCCATTCATTTCCACAAAAAATATAGCATAATAACTACATCCATAAAAATAAAATAAAAAAGCCTTTCATATATTATGAAAACACATACAATTAGAGTTACATCCATTCCAATAGATAAATTTTGTGCAAAAATAAATAATAATCAAAACCCTAAAAGTGGACAATTTGATAAATATTGAAAGATAATGAGTATAAATACATAAATCTTTCAACTTGATGACCTCAATTACCACAAAAGACGACATGAACTCGCTGAAGTAAAACCGAAATCTGAATCACTGAGTCGACCCAGAGCTTGCACAGCTACTAAAACACTGATTCAGAGGCGATGCCGAATAACGATTACAGAGACTTTGATCAATCCGGCGACAAACCTAGGGGCGAATTGAGAAATCCACAGACGAAATTTTAAAAAATGCCAAAGTTTAGATAGAGAAAGTTAGGGATTTCGGAGGCTGTGAGATCGTCGTAAGGTGCGTCGCTGTCTGGATGATTTGCACAGAGAGCGGAAAAAAAATCCCCAATCAGCTCCGAAGACCAAATCTCGTGGTTTTCAAATCATTGATGATTGAATTGTCTACTCTGACGGCTGTGATACACTGACACATATGGTTTTTTGTATAGGAGGAGTATATTATGCTTTCTGGATTCGGAGCTGGGTCGGATCAATGGTGTGACCTATCGGGCCGGACTTTTGTGAATTTTTATATGCGGGGGGAATTTTATAAATAAGAAAATAAAAATGATAATAAAAATAGGTTAATATATATTTATATACACATTTATTTTTAGCACGGCTAAAATATATTGAACCCCTTCTCTCGCACTTCCCATACCAAATGTTCCTTTATTTTTTATTTCACAAATTCAATTTTATTATTATTTTTCTTTTTTTGGGTAAATTAAGGAGAGGGAAAATTTGAACACGAGCATATTCATTTAGAAATTTGGGTGTTTTACCATTTATTTCGTTTGATATTGTCCCAATTTTTATAAATCATCCACTTGAATTTTTGTACATTTAAATTCATGATAACTTTAACTAATAAAAAAAAATCATGATAACTTCTCGTTCATATAATAAATGTTGAGAAATTATAACAATCCTTGTCTCTTATAACTTTTTTGTTTATGTTATTACTTAGTTATTGTCCTGGTTATAAGAAATATCCAAATTAGTTCTTAAAATAATATGGTAGTCTGAAATTATTAAGTGTGTGTATATATATATATTTACAAATAAGTTATATATATACTAGTATAACTTATATGTGACCACGACGATGATGCTTTATTTGGTTGGAACTTGTTTGAGACCGGACAATTTTGAGGCATGTGTATGATTACATTCGTGGAACGTTAAAGACTGATTTTTTTTTTTTAAGTCGAAGGAAATAAACGAATTTGGTAATCGAAAATTTATCATGTATCCAACAGATAAATTAATAATGATAATATAAAATAAATTTGGTTACCAAACTCAGCACTATAGATAAAATTGAAAATTGTACTGAAATTTTTAGTTGATAATTGAAAATATTGTTGGTCCTCTTATTTTGTAAGTCGCGGTGACCACGACCTTGGAGAAGCATGCAATTTAGGCGAATGCCAAATTTTACATTTGTAAAAGCCACTACTACTTTTCACTATAAATATAGTTAGGGCGAGTAGGGATCGTCCCAAGAGATTGGAGTCAAAGTTGATTGTGAAATCGCTGTTAGGGTTAGTAGGTCAAGTGATCAAACAATTGGTTGGTTGATTAAAGAGCAACTAAATTAAACTAAGTAATTGAATGCAATGGAGAGTAAGTAAGAGAGAGAGAGAGAAGAGTCTTGGGGTTTAGAGATCACTGTCAAATAATGCATTTCTATATTATTAACAAGTGATTAATGAGGGCAATTAGAGTGTTGCAATATTGGTGTGTGTGTGTATTTGGTTGATTCAACAAGTAAGGATGACTAATTAAGTATACATTGTCTAACCAACATGTGAAAAGTACAATATATCTAGCAATTAAGTATATATCGTCTAAATAGCATGTGAAAAGCACAACATATCTAGCAAATCATTGATCATTTTCATTAGACTCACAATCCAAATATAACACAAGATTAGAGACATATGCTACTTGCATTCAAAAGTATAGAGTATCAAACAACTAGCATGGATTGTTGTAACACCCCCACATTTTCCACGCATAAGTTGATCAAGCTTATACACGAAAAACGAGGGATATCAAAAACAATTGGCAATATACAAGCATGGAATACAAAATGATGGAAATAAAAGAATTTAGACAGGAAAGAAACATTAAATAATACAACATCCATCCATCCTTTATTTAATACAGTACTTCATTACAACTTGGAAATCCTACGTCAGGGATCCCTAAATATAACCCTGAGAGTTCAACGTCAAAAGTAAATAAAAACTGAAACTGAAATACTACATAAAACTTCTACCCTGCACTGGATCGTAGGAGTAGATGAGTTCGGATGATGGTCCCACACTGCTAACCTCAGCCTTGAAACGGATACTGACCGTATCCTGAAATAACAACAATGGTGGGTCAACCCCACGAGCAAGTCCTCTCTACTATGACCCAAATCAGAGAATCAAATAAATTAATCATTATGAATCGGATGAGTACTATATCTGTATACATCCTACGGGAACTATCCGATGTATAACATGACCTCAACCAGAATAGACGGTGATCACTTAGACTCACACTAGGTGGTTAAGTGTCGCCTTTCCCTACCCGGGAAATCAGCTATTATACATGGTGCACGGTACTGACAACACAGACTATAACGAACTACACAGTGATAACACCTCGCAAAGTACTGATGAATATACTGAGCATATAAATTAGGCAACACATGCCAACAATATTAATAAAGATACCGAGAATGTCAATTTAGGCAACACATGCCAATAATATTAATAAATATACCAAGTATGTCAGTTAGGCAACACATGCCAATAATATTAAACCACATACCCCGACAGCCACACATCTGTCTATTGCAACGAATGCATAAGGTATAAATGAGTCTAAACTTATTAGCCAGCTCATATGGTTCTATATGGCAACACATCCATATAATATAAATGCGACATAATTAAACAGTCCATTTATTTCCTGAAATGCACACAGCATAATAATCATGGTTTATATATCAATTAACAGTATAAACATCCTATAAGATATCATGGATAATTTATCTGACTAAAACCATGGCCTTATTTAATTTAACAGTAATGTTTGATACCATTAAATACGATAATAACACTATTTATATTTAACAATGTCGTTAAATAAATCACATTAGTATCCGTACTGCGAACGAGCCAATAAATGCTTAGAAAAGATTAATCGGCCATAAGAATAAGTAACGGGTGTTAAAATAATAATTTCGTGGCCCGTTAAACCCGTAATTACCAACACAGTACCTAAAAATCCAAGTTTAAGGTTCTGGAATTTACAAAACAGGCCCTAGGGGTATTCTGGTAATTTCCAGCAGCTGTAGGGACCCCACACGCGCCCTCACGCGCCTCCCAGAGCCTCCCCACGCGCAGCCCAACCTTCCCCACTCTCCCACGCGCCTCCACGCGTGTCTGGCATCAGCCACGCGCTCCCACGCGCGCGCACGCGCTGCCACGCGCGCACTAAGGGTGCCTTGCTGACGTGTCACTTCCTGGTTGGTTGGCTGCATCCGGATTCCGTACTCGCGTCACACCGGATCATCTCACCCTATCTTCCCTCCATCCAACGCCCACAGATCCGGGTGTACCGCGGTATCATGGACCGCGATGCACCGGATCAATCAGACTCCACTAATGGCCAGGATGCGCGCGTACACCCTCCTATGGTGCGCCGCGTTGCACCGGATCACTCCGGTCGTCTCCCCCACTGCCGGCGACCGGAAAACTCGCCGGAAGGTCGCCGGAAATTGCAGAAAATGCCCGGAAAAATCTAGAAAATTCTAAAAAAATCCCTAAAGTCTTATTTAATTATTTTTAGCCATTATTAATTTCATAGGACATTAAATAAATATATACCATCCTATATAATTAAAATTCCATTAATTTAATAAAATAAAATTAATAATTTATTAACCTCCAAACCTTGGCTCTATGCATAAAAATAAGCTAAACAATTAATTTATTAATTCAAAGGGGAAAAGTAGATAATAACTTGCCTTTTTGGATTTAAAATAAATCCGCCGGTCTGCGCGTAGTCGGGTAAAATTGCCTACACCGGTCCAAGCTTCTTTCTCTTTCTCTTTTCCTTTCACTCTTATAAAATAGCTCTCTAGAATTTATACTTTGCTTCTAACTCCCTTTTATTTTTTTTTCTAAGGCAAGCTAGTTAATTTATAGACAAAATATATAATATAAATATTACAAATATCTAATTTATAATAACTTCTCACCCATTTCTCATATTCCTACCTATATGGCTTTAATTCCAACCATAACCATTGATGCAATCCTATCCTAATCTCTAATTTCATCATGACTTTGGTTTAATACTATTATTATTATTATAACTATTATTATTATTATTACTAATATTATTATTAATAAACTTTTATTATTATTATTATTATATTCTTATTATTATTATTATTAAACTAATATAATTATTATTATTGTTATTACAAAATAATATATTATATCATCATAATACTTGATAACACAAATATAATACTCTAATTAACTAATATTGCTTAATTAAACATAATTAAAATAATACATGCACAATTAAATGAATGAATTTACTATTTTAACATACACAATTAATTTACATGCACAATTAAATGAATTTAATAAAATAATGTAGTATGCACAAATAAATAAAATTAATTAACCTAACACAAAATTAATTTAAATACATTCTTTAAAATTACGGGGTATTACATTCTCCCCCCCTAATAAAGGAATTTCGTCCCCGAAATTCACTACATACCTGTCTTAAAAAGTTCTGGATACTTGGCACGGATAATATCTTCCCGTTCCCAAGTAGACTCTGTAGCATTATGATGACTCCACTGTACACGTACTAATGGAATAGTCTTCGTGCGCAGTATCTGATTCCTACGATCGAGAATACAGTAAGGTTGTTCCAAATAGGTTGCATCGGGTTGCAACTCAATCTCACCCACATCAATGTGTTGGTATCGATCTTCATCCCGTAGAAATTTTCGCAGCATAGATACATGAAAAACATTATGTACCCTATGAAGATTATCTGGTAGAGCCAGACGATAAGCTACTGCCCCAATCCGATCTGTAATCATAAAAGGACCCACAAAACGAGGCGATAACTTACCCTTTGACCCAAACCGCATTACTCCCTTCATGGGAGAAACCTTAAGCAAAACCTGATCACCAACCTTAAACTCCAAAGCACGAGTTCGACGGTCAGCATAACTTTTCTGTCTGCTTTGAGCTGTACGCATCCGATCCCTAATGATAGCGATCTTTTCTGACGTGTCCTTAATAAATTCAGGACCCAGAAAGTTGTTCTCACCAACTCCAAGCCAACAGACAGGAGACCTACACGGTCTGCCGTACAAAGCCT